GGAGGGGCCGAGGCCGGCTGAAGGCCTGACCGCTGACAGCCACCAGCGACCACGGTCTCTCAGCGCACCCGGCTCAGATCTGACGGTCCTCTTAGCGCACTCGGCTCAGATGTGAAGAAACTTTCAGCGCACCCAACTCGGATGTGACAGGGCACCCGGCCAGGATGTGACGGACCTCTCAGCGCGCTCGGCTCGGATGGGACGGTCCTCTCAGCGCACTCGGCTAAGACGCGACGGTCCTTTCAGCGCGCCCGGGTCGGATGTGACGGTCTTCTGAGCGCACCCGGCTCGGATGTGACGGTCCTTTTAGCGTCCCCGGCTCGGATGTGACGGGCCTCTCAGCGCACTCGGCTTGGATGTGAGGGTCCTTTCAGCGCACCCGGCTCGGATGTGACGGTCTTCTCAGCGCACCCGGCTCGGATGTGACGGTCCTTTTAGCGCCCCCGGCTCGGATGTGACGGGCCTCTCAGCGCACTCGGCTGGGACGTGACGGATTCTGTGGGCGTCGACGAGATTTCTCAGATGCTGCAGGCTCATGAATGGGTGAATTCGTCACAGGTCGCTGTCTCAGCATCTGCCCTCGTCCCAGGAGGGGCATGAGTGGAAGCGGGCCATGACGGTGATGGCCAGGTGCAGGACGGCGACATCGCTCTGTAAGTGGACCAAAGGGATCAAGTAATAAATGCGAATATTGCAGTCGCTACTGTTTTTCCGGCAGAGCTTACTCGTCAAAATTTGATAGAGGTGTTTCAACAGACACGTGGGTAACGACTTTATCTGTCCAGAATATATATGTATATATACATATATAAATATATATATATATATATATATATATATATATATATATATATATATATATATATATATATATATATATATATATGTATGCTTGGCTCGCATTGAGTCTGACTCAACCCACTTCCATACGTGCAAACGACAATCTCTAATCGGTGTGTGGAAAAATGTTTTAAACCATTGTGAAGTGATTTATAGGATGGCGCGTGTAATTCTTGCATCAGACAACTTCAGCATTTTCAGTCAGCAGCTTCAGCAATTTTTATCCTTTCAGTAATCATTTCTGAGTTATGAACTGCCCATTGTTAGTAATAATTGCTTAGAACTCTCCATATGGCTTTGAATGTCATTATGTTATTGCTATGATTTTGTTTATGTCGCAAAACAATTGGAGAAGACCTTGATTTTGATGATCAGTGTTAATATCGATCATGGCGAAGAGTGAAGGCTTCAAGGTGCCTTTGGGAACATGGGCGTTAAGTCTGTATGATGTTGATGCAAGGCTTATCAATGAGCTTACCACCGTAAAGCATTTATTCTGTGCCCTCAATGGGCTGCAACGGTAGCAAAACACATTGCTATCGTTCTTCAGGAGTGTGGTCTTCCCCAGCATACTTCATTGATAATGTTTATATCACGTCTCCATCCGCGTTTAGTAAATCCTCGGAGCTGCTTGTCCACTTTGTGAGAACAAGTGGAGTTTTCGTATTCTTGTTGTGTTGATATGTGGCCATCGTTGACATTTGGCACCCGCAGCGACCTGTAAGGTGTGATAGGGGTTCCTCTCCTCCTCACCTCAAGGTTTTGTCATTCTACACAGCGTGACCGCAGAGCGATAACATTTCTGAAGATGTCTTTGAATCTGGCTGTAATGTGAGAAGGCTTGATAAAGTTTGTCTCTTACATCTCGGCTGCATTGAACATCTACGGCATCCACCTGAATCCTGTTTTAACTGAATTTGTGTTTGAGACATATATGAAGCGCGGTTGACGCTTGCCGTTCATAATCCTGGCAGACGTTATTTTATCCTATAATAAATTACGCTTAAGCACCTCTAAAGCCTTCAAAAGTACATATGATATATCATTACGGCTTCAGATGTTCGCGATAGCCAATTTTACCGCAGCTTTTTGGTGCACATACAGGCGCACGCGCACACACACAGACACAAACGCGGCCGAGATTCAGATGCTCGCGATAGCCAACGTTACCGCAGCTTTTGGGCGCACATACAGGCGCACGCACACACACACATACACACGGGGCCGAGATGACCGGTTCCACTGGGTGGAGTGGAAGTTTTGTTCTCTGTCGACCGGGCGCCTCCATCAGATACGCGGCCGGCTCGGACAGACCCAACCGCCGCATGCAGATGCGCCTGCCCGCAGTGCGTTGGAGGACGCTTCGGCCCCAGCCACGGAAGAGAAATGGTCGCGCGGTGCCGTCGGGTGTCGCGCGGCCCGGCCGCGCCGCACCATACACGGATCGCACCGCGGCACCTCGGCGAGCGCAGGCGCCGGCGGCCGGCGCGGGTCGGTGGTGCGGCGTCGTTTCGGCTCGTGTAGCGTGGTCCCTCTCGTGACTGATGCATTGGGGCTGGGGTTATGCGGGGGCACGCTGGAACGCGGAGCCACCGCGATCACGCCTTCAAAGGGGTTCTGTGGAGGCCACCACATTCTGCAGATACATTTTTTT